TCTTCCAATTCTCTCTTTGAGATTTTGGGCACACATGAACACATACCCCAAGAGTTTGTCAGACCACCACGTCTGAGACTTGAATCATGCAGTTGGCCATGTGGCATCCTGCCACCTTAGCCACTATGCCACCGGCTGCCCAAGAATGCAGTTTTCCTGTCAGACTGTGTATTATGACCCCACTGAAGCTGCTCTATCTCTGTACTTGTTCTCATGCGGCAGCTCTTTAGGGGTCTCTCCTTGAAGCCATGCAGTGCCTGCAGGGCCTTCTTCCTAGGTACATGTCTGACTTCTAATTTGTGTTACTTTGCACCAGCCACAAGACTACTAAGGTCTCTGCTGATCTCCCCACCCCCGCTCTGCGGCCTGTTGTGGCTCTAGGTATGTGGCCCTGGGTCCTGTAGCTAAGAGTCAGAAAGGCCTTGAAGGGAGGTGTATGTGTGTGGCTTGCACACTCTGCAGTGTCTTCTTCTCTGAGACCTTGGCCTGTCTAGTCATGGTCGCCTTGGTGGCTCTGAACCTCAACATTTACCTCCCCCGAGCAGCCATCACCCGGCCCACTGGCTCCTGTGGGCCCCTAGCCCACGCACCCACAGGGGTTGGGGCTGAGGGACAGAAATTGCCACCGTGACAAAATTTCCAGTGAGGATATCTACAATGTCTGAAATTTAAAAAAAATCAATAATCACATTAAATATAAATGGCCAAAATACCTCAACTAATGGACAAAACAGCTTTAAAAGAAGAGCAAGATTTGAGAACTAACACCACCTTATTACTTATCTGTAAATAGTCAAGACATTATGGTACCAGTAGAAAGATAAACACATCAATGAAATAGAGTAGAGTCCAGAAATAGACCTGCGCATTCGAATAATTGATTTTGGATAAAGCTACAAAAGCAGTTTAGTGAGGAATAGATGGTTTTAACGAATGGTAGTAGTGCAACTGTGTATTCATATTAGAGAACTAACTTTGATCCCCACCTCATGCAATATTAAAAACCCGAACATGGATCATATGCCTAAGTATTAAGAAACCCCTACTGTAGAACTTCTGGAAGTAAACAGAAAAAGTCCTTTATGACTTTGGGTTAAGCAAAGAATGTGTTTAGATATGTCACCAAAAGTACTTTCCAAAGTGAATGAATTGTTAAATTGGACTTCATCAAAACCATAAGTTTCTGTTCTTTTGAAAGATAGATCATCTTCAGTGAATATAAGCGCAACAATACATTGGGAGAAAATATTTGCAAATCATAAATCTGATTTAGGAGTTGTATCCAGAATATATAAAGAACAGTTTATTTTTTTTTTTCTGGAGAGGTTTTTGCTATAGGGCGCGTGCACTCTCCAGAGAGACAGAGAGACAGAAAGTGAGAAATCAGCCCCCAGGGGGAATGGCCGCGCTGCAATCCCTTCTCCTCCATTCTCCTCTTGGGATCTTGGGCACGTATGCACATGCGCCCACCTTGAGTTTAAGCCGCTGGGTTCGGGACTCGAACCGCAGTCGACTACGTGGGAGTCCAGCGACATAGCCATTACACTAACTGCTGGTCCCAATATATAAAGAACACTTACAAATCAATAGTAAGAAAACAAACAACCCAGCCAGGGGAAAAAAAAAAAAAGAAATGGACAAAAGATTTGAACAGACATTTTACCAGAGAACACATGCACACACACACATAATAAAAATTTAAAAATAAAAATAGCTAATAAGCACACAAAAATTTGCGCATCATTAATCAAATGTACATTAATATCACAGTGTGACACAACTACGCCTGCACTAGAATGGCTAAAATCAACAGGACCTGGGAGACCAAGTGTCAGCCAGGATGGCGAAAAATAAGAATTCTCCTGCATTGCTGGTGGAATATGATTTGCTACAGATACTCCAGGAAGCAGCCTTGCAGTTTCTTAAAAAGTAAATACGCAAGTCCTGTATAATTCAACTCTTTAGACCTGTGTTTACCCAAAATAAATGAAGGTGTATGTCAGGACAAAAAGGTGTTCATCACTGCCGTATTTGTAGTAGCCCCTTAATGGAAGTGACCGGATGTCCATCAGCAGATGAATGGGCAAACCGATTGGAGAAATGTGCTCACCGTTACCAAGGAGTGGGCTGTTTATACATTCTCCAACTTAGATGAATCTTGACATAGTTATTTTGAGTGGAAGTAGCCAGAGAGAAAGAGAACTCGCATGAGTGATTTCATTCAGATAAAGCTGTAGGAAATGCAAACTGATGTAAAGTGACAGAAACCGGGTCAGAGATTGCCAGAGGCTGAGAGAGGAGGAGAGACAGAAGGGAATTTGGGGATGTTAATTATCTTGATTGTGATGATGGTTTTCGTAGGCGTTACACATGTCAAAACTGATCAGACTGTACACCTAAAATATGTACATCTTTGGTATGTTGGTTATACCTCAATATCTAAAGTGGCTTTGTAAAATGATCAATAAAATTAAATACGTTTAAAAATATCAACAAAATTTTTTAAATAATTTGTTTTGGAGAGGTTTTTACTACAGGGTGCGTGTGCTTGCCAGAGAGACAGAGGGAGACAGAGAGACAGAAAGTGAGAAATGACCCCCCAGGGGGGATGGCCATGCCTCAATCCCTTCTCCTCCATTCTCCTCTCGGGATCTTGGGCACGCACGCACACACGCCCGGCCTGAGTTTAAGCCACTGGGTCCGGGACTTGAACCACGGTCGACCACATGGGAGTTGATGACATAGCCATTATGCTAACTGCTGGTCTCCAAAATTAAATATTTCAATTAAAGATTAAAATACTTTTTCAGTACTGAGAGCTAGTAATTTAAGATAATTTAAGAGTGTTATTGATGGGAATAATTCCAGATATTTTCTGGCTAACATATAAAAATCTGTAAGGTTTCATTAGGAAAAGAATTGCTACTCGTTAAAAATCACTTTAATTTGGGCCAGCAGGTGGTGCAGAGGTGAAGGTGGCTGGATTCCATGAGGCCTTCTGAATGGTTTGAGTCCTGGCCCCGACACCTGGAAATTACACCTCGTGTGTGTGGGCACCCCCACAATCACAAGAGGAGAATGGGGAGAAAGGGTTGCAGCATGGCCATTCCTATGGGGAGGAGTAATTTCTCACTTTCCCTTTCTCTGTCTCTCTCCAGCGAGTACAAGTGTTCTGTAGCAAACTACAAAATACATAAATAAATTAATTAATTAAATAACTTTCATTCTTAATTCCTAAAGAAATGTTGTGCATGACAGAAAAGGTGCTTCACTTCCTGTAGGTGGGATGCTGGTTGGTTTTGGAGTTTTCTTTCTTTCTTTCTTTCTTTCTTTCTTTCTTTCTTTCTTTCTTTCTTTCTTTCTTTCTTCTTTTTTGTGCTAGGGTGTGCTTGCTGGATAAAGAGAGAGACAATAAGAGGGAAAGTGAGAAATCAGCTCCTGGAGGGTGGGGATGGTGATCACACCACAGTCCCTTTTCCTCCTGGGATCTTGGACATGCACCCACAAGCACCCAATGTGATGCTCAAGCCACCAGGCCTGGGATTTGAACTACATTTGGCCATGCGGGAGTCCAGAGACATAACTGCTACACCATCAGCTGGCCCATCTGCTTTCTTGATTGAGTAGGAACATATTTTCCTCATTAAAGGGAAGTGCTATCCTTTTAATAATTCCATTTGTAAATTGATAGTGGAATTTCTAAAATAGATTAGTTTTTTCACAGACTATTCCGCATTGTATCCTGTGTCTGCCTATGTGCCAGGCTGTGTGGTCAGGGGCTTCCATGGGGCTTCCATGATGTTTGATTTCCTTACCGATGGAGTAATCCACAGATCGTGTTTATCAACACTTGGATTAAAGTAAGCCTCTAGGTGTTTCATTCTCCCAGTCATCCCATGTACAGTGGATCATTCCCCTCAGGATATTTTCAGTAAATGACATTATTATCTGATCTGTTTCTGGTGTTATTTTTTTATGATCTATTTTCATTAGAGAGGACAGAAGGAAGCCTTTTCAGTAAAATTAATGTAACACTTGCTTCAAGCACGCTAAGATAATCCAGTGTGTTGAGGGAGAAACAAAAAACTTTGGAAATCTCTAAATTTGAGAACCCTCTCCAGGAACAGAGCAATGAGGACATTTTTTTACTCTATTATTGCAGTCATGCCCCCCCCCCTTATCCACAGTTTCACTCTCCACAGTATTAATTGCCTCTAGTCAGTTGCTGTTCTACTCTATGAAAAGTTATTTTGAGACAGAAAGAGTGAAGGAGAGAGAGACAGACCAAATTCATATAACTTTCGTTAAAGCGTTTCATCATGATTGTTCTATTCTCTTACTAGTTCTTACTGTTAACCTCATTTATACATTAACCTTTATCATAGCTACATATGAACAGGAAGAGGCATCGCATATATAGGGTTTGGTACTATCTATTTCTCCGTGCGTCTACTGGAGGTCTTGGAGCCGGTCCCCTAGGGATAATGGAGACCATTATACTTTCTTAGAGACCCTTCCTTCTTTTAAAGCAAAAAGCAAAATGACCTGTGTCTGTAATATTATTATTTCAGTGACTGTGATGGATTTCATCCAGCTCTTGAAGGCTACTTTTAGAAAACAGGGAGAAAGAAATGGCAAGATCTTTAGCGTATTGAGAAATAACGGCCGGAGTGTGAGGGGCAGATAGAAGTTCCACCTGTGGGTGTGTGAGAGCGTGTGGAGCCCTGCCCAGGTGTCAGGCAGACTGGGTGGCGCGGAGGACCTATGCGCTTGGTGGTGTGGTTGTGAAGCTGCAGGGTTGACATGGAAGCTCTTGCTTAGGTGTGCACCTGGCTATCGTCCCTGTTGGACACAGTGACAGGTTGGGCCGAATTGCGCTTGGCACCTCTCAGCCTCCTGTGAATAGGACTGGTGTGCAACATGGCGAGGCACACAGTCAGGGGTGGTGTGACTCCTGGGCTATGTCACCAAGGTCTCTACTTTCTCCTTTCCTGTTGCAGAACCACGAGGCTGCCCTGACACGCTCAGCCACGCTGTGGGGATGTCAGAGAGCCCCGTCGGACCCAAGCCCGCCATGCTCCGGGCCGATGTGCCCACACCGCCCTCTTTTCAGCAGGCGTTTGCCTCTTCCTGCACGATTTCAAGCAATGGCCCCGGCCAGCGGAGGGACAGGTGAGAGAATGGGTCTTTGCACTCACACAAGCTCCCGGAAAGTCCCCAGAATGCTGAGTGGAGGTGGGAAGAGGGCTCTGGGTGGCCAGGACTGGGCCTGGTAGGATGGTGTGCCAGGTGCCTGTATCAGGCATTGAAGGAAGGTGAAGAAGTAGGGTATAGGGTTTGTTCTGAGAGAGGCATAAGATGTCCCTGTAGAGGCTGACCATGGTGGGCATGTGTGCCCAGCATTGGGGGTCACTGTGGGGCACCCCTAACCCCATATGCATGCATAAGCAGCAGCTGGGGTGGGACGAGGACAAGGGAAGGTTGATATAACTGGGAACACAGTTGGGCCTGGTCTTGGGTCAGGAAAGGGACTTGGCCAGGTGAAGAGCAGAAAGGAAGGCACAAAGGCTGTGGAGCCACAGGAGGTGGTCTCCACAGGCGAGGCTGGAGCAGATGGACAGTTCCTTTAGTGCCCCAGGCATGCAGTTGAGCATCTGGGATGACCTAAGGCCTGGAAGGACAGGCGGCATGGGCTCAGCAGGGGCCAGAATTCCCATATTTGGGGAAATGCCTCTGGGGTGAGCCTCATCATCCCTTCCTCTACCAGGCTTCCTCCTGGGGGTGATAGCACAGGGTTCATGCATCTCCCTAAACCTCACGTTCTCTTCCTCTTGCCTTGCTTCTGATTAGCCCATCTGCTGTAGACCGCCAGTGGGTGGAGAGCAGCCCCAGGTCCACCCTCTCCCTGCTTGGGAGCAGCCGGCCTACAGGAAGTACCCTGGGCACCAGCGAGTTCTCCGGCCCCAGCAAGGACTCCCCGGTGCTGTCATGCTTCCCGCCCTCGGAGCTCCAGGCCTCTTACCGCAGTCGCGAGCTGTCCCTGGCTGATCCACCAGAAGCTCTGGCTCCCCTGAGCGGCCAAGCCTTTCTGGGCTTTGGCACCGCCCCAGGGGGCAGTTGCATCCCACCCACGGAAGACCCAGGGGCCTTGCTGGTCAATTCCCACAGGGTGTCCCCAGCCCCTGGCGCCCCGCTGACAGTGGCAGGGGGTGGCGGGCTTCCTGTCTCACAACTTTCTCACAGTGGCGCCTGGACACAGTGGCCCCCACAGTGCAGGCTTACAGGGCCAGGGCGTGGTGCTGACAGGGCAGCCACCCCTCCCTGAGAAAAAGCGGGCCTCAGAAGGGGACCGTTCTTTGGGCTCCGTGTCCCCCTCATCCAGCGGCTTCTCCAGCCCCCACAGTGGCAGCACCGTCAGCATCCCCTTCCCAAATGTCCTGCCTGACTTCTCCAAGACGCCAGAGGCAGCCTCACCTTTGCCAGGTAGGTGTGCCCCCTAGGAGGGGGGGACTTCTGTCTGTCCACTCAGGAGAGATGGCCTGGGCCAGCAGCTGGAGCTTATGTGTGAGCTCCTCTCTAGTGCCAGGCTGAGCACGTGCAAGAAAAATCCAGAGCCTTCGGGGATCTTTTCCACTTTCGAGCTCAAAGCCGAACGCCACCCAATACTTCCTGGGAATGCTCCTTGGCTTCTGTCTTTATCCACTAAGACTCGTCCCAGTAACCGAAAACTCAGCGCTTCTATATTCCCTTTCACCTGGAAACATCACTCTTGAAGATAGCTTTATTCCCTGAATCAAATGAATTCTTTCAAAATTTAATTAGGAAATATTTCAAGTGTATACAAAATAAAAAGATGTATTGATTAAAAAACACTGACCCTTCTAACTGTGTATTTTAAACATCTATTGCACAGGTCTGATCAAAGCGCTGTGTTGTGTTCTGCGTTAAGCAGCTGCCGCTTCCTCTCATCCAGTCAGCTGAAATGCAGGGTTCTTTCCCTTAGAACATTCCCTCTCTGCTGGCCTCCTGGGCTTCTAGGGTTATTGCCGATGAGATGTTGCATAAAACAAGCCCTTCACAATCAATCTCTGTTTTAAACTTTGCTCTACAGATAGTCCAAGTGATAAGCTTGTGATCGTGAAATTTGTTCAAGACACTTCCAAGTTCTGGTACAAGGCAGATATTTCAAGAGAACAAGGTATGTGGGGGTGGGGGTGCATCTGAGGACACCTGTCCTAAGCACTTGGACTCCTGGGTTGGGGCAATAGAAAGGTCAGAGAGCTGTGGCCTTGGCTTGGGTTGGCTTTGAAGAAGATCTACACCTCATTATATGCCTCAGTGAAAACGCTATGACTTTAAAGTTTTAGACGGAAACTTGGTACTAAGAAATGGGTCAGAAGGTAACATGGTGGTTAAGGCACTGGAATCCCACATGGTTAACCACTGTTTGAGTCCTGGACCTAGAGGCTTGAAAATCCCAACAAATAAACAGATAAATAAATAAATGTTAAGAGAAAAAGAAAAGGAATGGGCCCTAGTTGTCAGAATGACTGTGTGCTCAGTGCTTCTGGAGGCACGTAGCTTGCTGGTGACACTGGCCCACGACAGGTGACTGTAAAAAGGAGATGCACCCTCCCATAACTCCACCTGAGTCCTGGGCCGGAAGGCCAGCCTTAAGAAGGAGGAAGAGC